ACATTGGGTGAGAGGCAGGGTCCACCCTGGACAGGTCACCAGTCTACGACAGGGCTGACATGTAGACAGACAACCACACACTCTCACTACTCCTAGGGGCAATTTAGAGTCACCAATCGACCTAAGATGCACATCTTTGGACTGTGGGAGGAAGCCGGAGCACCTGGAGAGAACCCACGCAGGCACAGGGAGGACACGCAAACTCCACAGGGAAACAGTGGGTCGGCCAGGGCTCGAACCCAGAGCCTTCTTGCTGTGAGGCGACAGTGCTAACCACCGCACCGCTTTGCCGCCCATAATCAAAATATTTGCAGATTAATTTTCTTTTGATTGACAAACTGATAAAGTAATTGTTGCAGCGCTTGTAACCCTGGTAGCACTTGTAGTCCTTATTTTAAAATAACCTAAAAGACCATTGATGGGATGAAAATTCTCCTTCAGCTATGAGCCGCAAATAAAATAAAGGAAAGGAAGCAAGAGTTGGACAGAGCTGATTTTACATACAGTGGTCTGGCTGAGCAATAAACATAATGGATAACTCCTTGCCGCTGTTCTCAGACAACAACCCTCTTAAGTCATGAATGTCTACCTCCCTCCACCACACATGTGGAAACATTTTCCACTTGAACTATTACCCACATCGTCTCTCTCACTCTCTCCGTCCCACTCCTTTGATACACTGTAGTCATTTTAAAAAATGCTGAAAAATGAGATCCCAACCATTTGAAAAAGGTGAAAATCTCAAAATGGCTGGAAACTAGGTATGTTACACAGGATGATTTCCTGTCCACGTGTCAAAGTTTATAGGCTACTTCTGTAAAAAAACATAGATGTACGTACACATTAAGCAGGTCAAATGGAATGCTTTTTTTCCCTCTCTCCTCATACTGCATTATGTAGAGGATGGCCTGTTTTCTTACCTCGTCGTCCTTTTGAGGTACATCTCCAGCAGAGATCACTTCATTTGGTTTCATCCAGGTCTTTGGTATCGCAGAAGCTGTCTGGTTTACTGCAGGGAAACAGAAATTCAGGAACATGTAATTAGCCACAGCTGGTCAGCAAACAAACAAACCACCTTGAATTTAAAAACATTTTGTTTGTAAAGTCTATGTATGGTATCTCACTCTGCAGATACCAAACATGAACCTCCTTAATAGTATTTAACATGATCATGATTGATGCATCTCCTTTTGTACAATTTGAATCACAGTGACAGGTATGCAGTTCTACAGACAGAAACACACACACACACACACTCCTGACTGTTTTGTGTTTATATTCTGTGCTAACCTGCTACATAATGTTACATATATGACCCCAGGTAGTCACCCACAACTTAACAACAAAATACACCACTTTGTTAAATCTTTCTGCTAAGCTACAGAATTTTCTAGATGGATGGAGTTTATTCTATCTGACTGGGTATTTTTGGGGAATCAATGATGTCGGAATGGCATTTGATGAGAGATTATCCACAATAGGGTGCTTCCTAATTTATCTATTTAAGAATAAGACCCCGTTAAAAAAAAATAAATCATAAAATCCCTAAAACAGCATCTCTCCTTTTATGTAGCCCTTCCCCCACAAGAGTAATTACTTCTCTGCTGATAAGAATCATTAATTACAGAAACAGGTTTTACACTTGCTGAAACAGATTCTGATTCAGTACCTGTAGTGGGACTCTTCCTGACGAGTACTTGTTGCTGGGACTCTGTTTTGCTGTCAGTAATGCCACCATGTGCTTCTGTCACTACTCTGGAGACAAGTTCTTTAGTGTCTAAGGATTTGCTTGTCTCATCAGCCTGCACTAGAGGTGGGAGGCCTGGGGGGAGCATAACTGGCAAAGCTGGGGTGGGGCTTGAGGTCAGGGTGACTGGCACCACAGCCACAGGTGCCATAGGGGTGAGTGCAGCAGCAATGGGCACCTCTGGTCTCATGTCAGTGGGCAAGGTTTCAGAGGAGGCCTCTCTGTAAGCAGAAGCCTGGGGTTGGAGTGCAACAGGGGACATTAACGAAGGCTCATGAGCTGCAGCATCTAGCTCAGTCCCGGCATCTACAAGGCCATTCAGTGCCTTGGGAGCCAGTGCAGGCGAGGCAGTCATAGTTCGTGGGTCATCTGAAAGAGGCTTGTCTGTGCTGGGAGTCTGAGGAGGCACCAAAGAGAGCTTCTGCTCCCCAACTGAAGAGGAGGGAGGAGAGGCGGAGGCTGTGGACTCCCTAGCTGAGGGATGTTCGCTGGCATTGACCACTGCAAGTGGGAGAGTGTCGGAGGCGGTCAGTGAGGCAGGGAAGGGAGGATCTGGCTCAGCAGAAGATGAGGGCTCAGTTTCAGGAACGTTGGCCTCCAGACTCTCCACAGGGGCTTCAGGTTGCACAAGCCCAGGCGAGGAAGACTTCTGGAGTTTTGGCATATCATCTGAAAGGAGGAAGAGTATAGATAAATACTTTGGTAATAAAGGTAATATTTGTATCATATAAGATACTGTATAGTTTCTTTAGATCATTGAAGTGTGTAAATATATTTGAATAGGAACATGTCTTTGCTTTTCTCTGCAAATTATAAGATAATAAACCATCTGTTGGTGGTCAAAATATTCAGTTATTTTAATTTAAATCTGTAAAATATTAAGTCAAACCATTTATGTCACATATTGAAGTTAATGTCAACAAAAAGTGAATGACTGTGGCTGGTCAACAACTAGAAAGACAAAAGCTTCCATCATTTGCATGAAGGTTAGAGTTTAAAACTGGTGCCTGAAGCTTGTATTACAGAAACAGAACAGAAACCCTGCTGACACTGCATGAAATGAAAGTGAAAGCATTCAGTGTGCTCTGGGAAATTGGTGTTTGAGCGTAGACTATCTTTGTGGAGGGTTGCTATTGGGCATGGGCCAAAAAAAACCCACAGATCCCATTGCCTAACACAGGAGGCAATGACACAACTGTAAAACAGGCCAGTTTTAATATTCTGTTTAATTTGACTGTCTTGTTATATTATTGTGGAGCCCCTTAGTTGTTCATGTATTTTCAAAGAATGTAAAGAGTGTTGGGGCAGACCTGGCCCTGGTTTGGTGTCTGAATCCCCTGTTGTCAGCGGCTGGGGGGGG